TTGAGGTAAGTTTTTCTAGGAGAAGTGCTGCTCGCTGATGCAACCTTTTCTCCTTGATTTTTTTCACTTTTCTCTTGTTTTCTTTTTTTCTTCGGGATTGGCCGTTGTTCCCCATGGGAGATGGGAACTTTCTCTTCAAGCTCATGAGGGTGGTCGTGAGCGCATTGGAGGCTTTCTGCAGCTCTTGGTGTATGGCCTTCACTCGCTCTTGAGCTTCCTGGAAATATTTGAGCTCATCACTTGCAAACGACCTTAAGGTACGCTCTTCTGTATAAAGGTTCTTTCGTCTGTTGTTCATAAATGAGAGCAAATCGGATGCTGAATTGAAGGCCTCATTGACAGTGGTCAAGGAGGACTCACACTTCGCGACATCACCACTGCCCTTACATCCATCCACGCCTGACATGAACTTCGTGATGTTTTGGCACACTCCCCAATTCTCGTTTCTAAGCAAGTTGTTTTCTTTATCGGAAAGGGCTTTTATCTTTGTGTTTAACTGCCAACGCATTTGCTGTTGCTCGAGGAGATACTGTTTGAAACCGGCTTGTTTACTCACGAATGAAGATTCATAAATCTGCGGTACAACATTATTGTAGAATTTCAGCCTTTCTGTGTGTGGGTTGGGAAGAAGATATTTTTCCCACGGCTTCTTTTCTGGTGCTGAGTCGTTCCTCAGGAGTTGTAGTTGCCCGGAGCGTCCAAATGACAAAATCGCCTGCTTGCGCTTCTTGGGAGCACTGGCGGACGTAACACCTACCGATCACATAATAAATGTTTGTTAAGGATTGCGTTACAAATTATGCACCATGTTGCCTTACGTTTTTTGTTCATGGCTGGTTTGAAGCACAAGCCAATTATTTTATAGAGGCCTTCAAAATAATCATCTAAGAAACGATAACTCAATACCTTCACTGCTTGTTCCTCTTTGCTTTGATTCGCCTTGTATCTGAGCGAAGAAACGCCTCAGACGGCGAGTTTGTATCTTCGTTAGTCCAATGTCTCGCTCAAGAGTTTCGTCATCGACGTCCAGGAAATGCTCGACCTTTGCAACACCAATTTGTTTAAAATTGTCTGTGTAATTGCTCAAGTCAGCTTTTGTTAAAAGATAGTCAATTTCTTTATCCATTGAAAAGGCTTATAATGAAAGCAAATCAGCGCAATTGAACGAGTTCTGTGCCCACGTTTCGGCTAAATATAGGTTTTATATGTTAATATGTAAAAAATAAAGTTAAAGTTAATAAGTCACAACGATGTTAGTTAATAGTAGGTCACAACAACAAAGCATTATTTTAAAAGCGCGCTGAGAAGATTTCCGACAGTTGGACTTCAGACATTGTAATTGAGCAAGAATGGAAGATATGACAGAAAAGCTTAGCAATCTGGACGATAATGGTGATCAGCTTGGAAAGCATTTGGATTTAAGTGATGGAAGTACCCATAAACGATGCCATAATGAAAAGCGAAGCGAGCGAAGGGCGAGAACTGAGCGGCTTTTATCAGATATCGACAAGGACCAGGTAAATAAATGATGGATTTGCAGTCTTTATAAAAATATAAAAGCTAGCAAATGTTGTCTGACGGCGTTTCGATGTTACTAAAATCATCATGAAGGAAAACGCGGCAATTTCTTCGTGATACTGGTCCATTATTTTACGCTCAAACTGGTGAGAAGTAAAACAATAAAATATGCATGCAATACTATAAGTAATCATTAACATTGAAACGTCGAAACGACGCGGACATTAATTCTTTGTATTTAAAGACTGCAAATACTGGTATTTGTGGTCACTATAGTTTAGATAGGGTTATTCCCGGCATCTGAAAGACAACCCTATAATTTGCAGATCAGTGGTAAATAACAGTGTTAAATATTTAACTATGCTTACCATTAATACAATTAAATTAAAACGGAAATGTAGAACGTGACGCAAGCGAAGCGTGCGGAAGAAAAAAAACTGTAGGGGCTCCCTCGTGCGTGCGTCAAATGCAGACTATAAACCAGCAGACTTACTAGAAAATTGACGCGATTTAAATTATCGCAAAGTGAAGGCAAAATACTTTCTAATAAAATAAATAAATGCGAAAGGTGTGTTTTTTAATTTCAAACTGATGAAGAAAATTAACGCGGCGTTATAAAGAAACGGAACTTGTAGAGAAAACAGCTACCAAAATCCAATCGTTAAGATACATTCCTCAAGCCCATAGATCTAGTAAAACCGTGAGTTTCTCGATCTAAGACGAAGTCACCTTTTATAAACTACTTCAGGGAAAAAAGAGAATGGAGATTGTAACATCGCAACAAAGCTGCACCCTAGAGCAAAATAGGGGTGTTATAGAAGAAGAATTATCGAGAGCAATTTCAGAGGAAAAGAAGCACAAGTTTCAAGGTCTGCTCTATGTCTTCGATCAACTATTTCTTCCGGTGCAAGATGCCAATGCTAAGACAAGAATTAGGTCTTCAATCCCCTTTCAAGAAGCATTNAAGAAAATGTATTAAAGATCTGTACGAGGAACATTCTGACAGTATCAGAAACGATCAGGATACCATGAAGAGCTTCTGCTCAAAATATAATGTGGAAGAGAAGCACGTCATTGCATATGTTAATCATTTGAAGGATATTGAGATCCGAAAGGACATCAGAACAAGAGCAGCTCAGGAGCGAAGAAGGCAAGAGGCCGAACGAACGTACAAGGACTTTCAATGGGATAACCTCATCGAGGGTGGCAAAGTTCAAAAGTTGCGGGTAAGAGAACTAGACCTGTATCTCAACAAGCATGGTTTGACGACTGTGGGTCGGAAACTTGACAAAGTGAAGGCCATTCGATGTCACTATTACCGACAGAATAAAGAGACTGTGATAACAGAAGAACTGTCGAGTGATGAAGATGACGTGGAATTCGAGGATGAAGAATCCGAAAGTGGAGAGGCAGAGAGCGACGATGACTATGTTTTCGTGGATTTGGATGAACAGCCTGAGATTGGCACTTCCTCGACAATTCAGTTCGTATCTGACGAGCAAATATTTACCGTTGTGGTTCAAGGTCCATGAGACGTAAGTACCACTATTAAAATATCACTTGCATATTCAAAAAGTTATTTGGCGGTGGCTGGGAGAAAAGGGGGGGGGGATCATGAAACTTTCCACTACCGATAAGGGGGGATCTCTAAAAAACCAGATACTCTACGGGGGGATCAGGTAAATGCTTCGATGTGACAACAAAAATACTCCGACCCCCCCCAGGCGATAAATAATGACCGGTCCCTTACCATATTATTAGGTACAAACGCGACATATCTTGTTATTTATTAAAAAATTCTGTTATCCATCTCTAGAGTAGCCTGCGTTTTCTAAGATCAAGAAATCGTATGGAAATTGAACTAAAAACCTCTCAATCGATGATTAGCTTCGCGGCTGTGATTGTACATCGACTTTCACTCCAGTGGGGTGAGTCTTCCACAAGACCGCGTCTACCACCCTTTCCATGATCGTCCTTTCCGTTTCCCTTCTTAGCGATAATAATGATCGTTTGTTAATTAATTTTTTTTAGGTGTTATATTCATCTTGATTTGGCGGTGCTAATCTCATAATACGTCGAATCAAGGCAAAGGGAGATGAACTTTGTCCAGCCTTTACTTCGCTTACGAAGCTGTCGCAGAAATGACTTTATAGTCAGAAAGAATTTGGTTGAGTCTCCTAAGATTTGCCAAAGAGGATACTCACCTCGTTGATCAAGATCTGCCTGACTGTTTTGTAAATCAAATCGAAACTGCGTCAAATCTGGAACTTCCGCCCAAACTAATTTGTTCTTACGAATATAACACATTACGCACATTGCTGATCAGGTGACTGACTTTGCTGATTTCTTAATCAATCAAATGGTAATTCAATCCCGACAATGCCTTGAGTCTACAAAATGGCATGCTAATCGTTTATTCATTTATTTATCAACCAGGAGACTTAATTTGTCACGACTGCTAATTTCTAAGAAGGCATGTGAGGATTAATTCGAGCGAATAGTCGCAATGTGCCTAAACTGATGTTGTGGTTTATATTTTCATAGGTGATACAAAGACTTTACAAGGAATCTATGTCAATCTATCATTCCTGATTAGACATCCTGAAAGACATTACGGTTTACTCTTAACCAGGGGTTACAATAATGAAGGCCGATTAACGGTGGTCTACCATTGTCAGCTATCTCTGTATCCTAAATCTTGCCGATGATATGCCTATCATCACGCAATATTTTGCTCCAAAGGAGTCCAGTTCCTTTTTTGTAGAATGGCAGGTATAAAAACATACTGACACTGTTTGTAATGGCGCCTCTTTCCTTCCTAAATGTGTCCTTTGCTCCAGCAAGAACACATAAAATTACAGCCAGATGAAATGTAGTAACAATCAGATTAGCAAGCAATCGAACAAAAAAGACAGACAGAGCTCCCTTAAATATCAAGGATTTTTCACCTTGTACCAGATCACAAATTTTCGTCTGATTGAGTGCTCCTAACATAATCGTCTCTGACAAAGCACTTATAACGAACGTAACAGAAACCTCAGGTGTAAATGCAAATTTGTACAAAAATATGTAAGGTGAAATAATTTCAATTATGTTACCTAGGAGGGTGAGAAAAAAACAAAATAACAAGGTCCAGAATCTTGGTAAACGAATCAGGTTTTTCATCATTGTGCAGCAGTCTATAAATTGCGATGAAATAACTATTACTCCAAGAAAAATCCAACAATTCAAGGTGTCAAGAGAATTCAAGGTGATAAGTGATATGGAATATCTCGGTGTCATGTTTAAAAAGAGGCCAGCATCCTTTAGATTGACTTCAGAACTATTTCTTGGCACTACAGTTTCCTTTTTAGATGAGAAAATAGGTGACACAATTGTCCAGTAGTCGTAAATATAAAAACCAACAGCAGCTATTTCAGCAACCAAGAGAAATGAGTACGACATTTTGAGAATCCAGCGGAGGGGAGAGTGTTCGCTTCTATTTTGTGTATCGCCGTTTGGTATCAATGAAGACGTGTCTTCATCTAAAGCCATGACACCTGTAAATCGCAAACAAAGTGTGAAATTGAACAAGTTGCACTTAAATTTAAGGAAAGCCAAAACAAATCAGTGCCTAACCTGCTGAAGCATTTACCACTGACATCCAATTGAAAAACGTAACAACGACGTAACAATACCACAAACAGGTGAGCAGATTCATAGAATTATTTTAGTGCAAGTTTCTGCTTGCATAGCTTTGAAGCAGCTACGACAACTCTTTTTCTGATTTTTTTTAGTTATAATGACCGATCTAACATAAAAACAGTCATACTTTTAAAAAATTACAATATAAAGAACAGAAGACAATTAACCAACTTTAAAAAATATCTTGTACTTACCTGACACTTCTCGCGCGTTCTCAGGATAAACCTACGGAGCTCCGTGGGGAATGTTGCATCCTAATCTCGATTTGTCAGGGAGCTGTGTTTCATTAAAGAATCAATTAATATTTGAATTTTAAATATGATAAGCAAACAAATATGAACGAGTCTTGCTGAATTTACCACAACTTTATAACTTGCCGGTTTACACTGTCCCATCATCGTCAAAACCGTTCAACAAATCAAGTCAAGAATCAAAGAGATATAAAAAGATGAACTTTCGAATAGTCTCGCAAAGATTCAGGTCTGTGCTATGTTTCGTGCAGGAGAAATTCGAAGAAATATTTGATTCAAATCCCTGAGACTTTGTATTTTAATACACTTTAAAGTGTCATGACTATGTCCTTCTAAAGGGCACAAATAAGGCGGGCGGAAGCTAGCAAAAACATATGTCATCGATTTTTGCTATAAAAAGCCTGTAGTCGTCTTCTGGGGGCTTATAAACATCTATTTGAGTACATATTCTCAGACAAAGACTGTTCGGATTGCTTAATCTCGGCGGATAAGTCACTTTTTTTAACCTACGTGAAAGTATTCTCGGCCGTAATTTTATTATCTTGTCACGCAAAAGCTTAGAAATTCAACCTTGCTTTATCGCAAGACAAAAAACCCTACCAAACTAAATGTTTATACAAATACAAGTTTTCAGCTTGTCTAGTAACTAAGTTTAAAACTCAAATAGATTGATGATTCATTGTTTTTTAATTTTGACGACGTTATGTGAAGTTCAAGATCTACAATGCAAACTGTCGTCATTCGAGTTCGCTGAGATTTCCTGCATTCCAAATTAATTTTTTCTTGGTCGATTTTTCAGTTGACCGTTTGCGAAAACCAAATATACTTAGACGCTAGCATGAGATCTTTTTACTGAAGTCCATGCAGGTTCTACACAGCTCAAACTGAGTTTCAAAATTGTTCTCAGAACTATACAGTATCCGACATAATTGTATCTTCCGCTAAAGCAATCCTATCTGAAGTAGTTCTACTGCGTCGAACCTTTCACAGGACAAATTTTGCATGCAGGTTCATGTGCGATCTTCTCTTTTTCTATTCCTATAATGAAATGGTTCATTATAAGTAAAACTCATCACCTACCCAAAGCTTCTGTGAAAGCAAACCGCCTCTTTGTCGATTACTCTGAAGTGCTGCACAATAACCAAATCCAGGCGGTGTGCGCACTCTGATTGCATTGCAATGTGGTAGCGTTATTTTCAATATGGCGGTAAAAGCAGTAGAAATGGGCAGAGTTTGACTGAATATTCCGTAAAAGCTAGGCCGTTTCCTTTTCCTTTCACTATAGCTAAATAGAATTTGATATATTCTGAACGCTTAGAAGTATTTTTCGTGCGTATCTGTCACGTATTATATCGTTCTCAAGGACAAACGCAAGCACTGTTTTTTAGCATGTAATTTGAGACCGGTTTTCCTGAAGGTCAAATTTGTTGTACGTCGTGGTTTGAAGTTTTCAAAGATTTATATGACCTCTTTGATCCTTCTTCAACAGCTCTGACCAAACGCGCTCAAACTCGCTCCAGCGGTACAAACGTTTTATGCATTTTAAGTGATGGTGTTTGAGACCCTTCTGTGGAGCGAAAAGGCCCATTGTTGCCTTTAGTCTGTTGCGTTACATAGCGTTACTACTGCAAGGGCATTTATCGATTGTGTTGTAAATCTACTTCCCTAAGTGAAGGAAAATTAACTAATCGCGAGTGTTGTGTGGTAAATCTTCTATCATGATCATTGAATAGAGGACAGTTTAGTTAGAGGAATGAAAAGAGTCACTTGATCCCTGAAAACCTTTTAGTTTTACCTTGCATGAGGCGACACGCTGGAAAGCCGGAAAGGAAAAGGCAGTCAACCGTTGAAAGGTGTTGAAAGGCTTGTGTGTCTCTTACCATTCACTAGCGCTTTTAAATCTTCTGCCCTCAAATTTTACCTCTTATTAGATTAACTCTTGATGACTTTCCTTTGCGATGTGATAATAAGGATCAGTTTGAGGTCATTTCCCCATTTGTCTATTCTTGAGGTCTGGCAAAGCTGGGGGAGATTGTGTTACAAAAGGCAATATTTTCTTGCTTCAGAGTATACTTCTCTCCTGAAGTAATAACTCCAGAGATACGTTTCTCAAACCCTCATATAGGTTTCCTCTTTTCTCGAAGGATATTTTGAAACTCCGTAAGTTTTTACTAAACTTGGAGCGCGACAAATTCGTTCTTAGGAGGCGTGGGGCTACTCCTTTTTGCAAATCCCGTATTTACGCTCGGTGGAAAAAGTTCGTGTAGTACAAGGTCTCTGTCTCTTTAATATGCGTTTGCATGTCAAGGGTCAATTCCCTGTTTAATAACTCGCGTCTAGGAATATAATTTCTGACTCTGAAATTATTCATTCCGCCATCGGTTGTGAGAGTAACCGTTGCCATTTGTGTCGAGATTCTTAAACAGATTGGAGTTTCGAGTCTTTCTTAATAACGTCAGTTGCCTCCTAAGAACGAATTCGTCACGGAGGAATGGGGTCGCGCAGGCCCGTCAAACGTTTTAACTTTCGAAGGAACGGCAACAGACAGTGAATCCACATTACAATCCAACTATAATCACGCTATCTCGCCGCCACGAAAGAAGTTTACTCTAACACGTCAAGATACAAATGACTCAATTTTTGTTTTACGACCATGATGCAACGCAATCAGAGTGCGCACACCGCCTGAACCAAATCGAAGCTCTGTTAGATCCGGGACATTGATTCTCCAGGATATATATCACGTCACTGTACAACGCTCAACTCATTTTTTTTTTTTTTTCAATAACTGACTTTAACCCAGACAATTGCTATTTTAATATCTATTTACCATAGGAAATATTTTCTAACCCAAATACAGCTTTGAATGATAGGAGATTCATTTTTTTCAAGAAGACTTTTAAATCTTAATTAAAAAATTAGTCTTTAACGCTTAAAACGCTTCATCAACCAGAACTTGTTTTCGAACGTTTCTCCTTTTCCTTCGTTTGCATGGTCTCCTCAACCAAGAAGTATTGCAAGTAAAAGTCCTCCATAAAACAGAAAAAGCGTTCATCGCAGTGGAGAAAAATTTTTAATGATCAGTCCACCAACAAGTAATTTGTGATGTACGCTCGAATTAATGGTGCTGCTTGGGAACGTTCGACTGCGTGAAAAATCTACATGGTCAGTCTAAAAATAGAATTCTTCAACTATCGACGATGATCAATTTACAATGGTCCGTCCAAACAATGACATGTATAATTTCTGAAGGTATAATTAATTATTGACCCCTCGCCCTTTCCCACTGCGAGTGAGAGGGGGGGGGGAGGGGGAAGGAAATCATTGGAATATTACAGAGCCATATGGGAGGATCGGTTAAATATAATTGTGACTTAAACTCAAAATTATTTACACCCCCTTCCCTCTTCTCCCCCTCCCTCCCCCCCTTACTAAATAATGAGCGGTTCCATCATTATCACGCAGTCTCTCTGCCTAAAGAATTTTATCATAGTGCTAGCAGCGGCTGTGGGCAATATGAAACGAATCCTGCGTCCTTCTTGGTTTACCAATTGGTCAAGACGTGCCCATCTTGCCCGCTCGGGACTGCCTGCTCTGATCCTGCGCAAGAAAAACAATGAATATTTGAAGCTGAAGTTCATCGATATCATCTCGGAATTCTTCGGGCTGATTTAAAACTGATATTGTTAATGAGATTTAAACCTAGTTTGCTTGATGAGATGGTCAGATTAAAAGAGACTCAAGCAACAGACTAAATTCTCTTGACCCAAGCCCTTCCTAAAAGGAGCAAGAAAATAAGGAAGGCTCTCTCTCTAGTCCATCCTCAGATCAACTGGCACATATTCGATCAAGCATCCTTGACAATGACAGCTTAGAAAGCATTTTACTACGTTTCTCAGTAATGTCGCAATGCGATAGGCCATTTGTTGCGGACTCGCTCGGTCCGCAATATTTTGACCTTTGTGATGACGAATACTGTTGACGATAAGAGTGCAGAACACGCTGAACCGCTGTCGATGTGTTAATTCGCATCTGATGCGTTTGCATCTTAGCCTGTGAACCACACGAAAGGTTATGCAGCGATGATGAATTACTCATCAGTACTGGAATACTAACTCTTATTAGACGTTTTGTTGCGTAGTATCGCTGAGTATTTTTACGAGTTGTGCCGTATTTTGACGAGCCCGTAGGGCGAGTCGAAATACAAATAACGAGTACAAATACTCAGCGATACTACACAAGAAAACGTCTAATACAAATGAATAAAGGCTGATAGTTTCGAAAGAAACTGTTTGGGGCTGCGTCGGTGGGAGTAACGAAATAATTTGGATATATCAACAAAGTTGAAATGGTAAATTGGCCACCGTAATGATTACAAAAGCTGACGTTTCGAGCGTTAGCCCTTCGTCGGAGCGAATAGAGGAATTGTGGGTTGTGTGTGCTTTTAAAGGCAGAAAATGGAGCTACGTTATTGGTGGGTCCATGGCAACGAGAAAAACATGAATAAATTAGTGGAATGAAAAGCGTTCATTGATCCCTGTGGGATT